TTCCAAGCTAAATAAGTTTTTTCTAAGTGTCCACATGAACATGCCCTCTATGTAAAGATTGCTAAAAATGGTGACATCTTACTTGTTTGTTTGTATGTAGATGACTTGATATTTACAGGAAATAATCCAAAGATGTTTGAAGAATTCAAGAAAGCAATGGCTAGAGAATTTGAGATGACGGACATTGGCCTAATGGCCTACTATCTTGGAATTCAAGTAGCACAGAGGAAGGGTGTTATTTTTATTTCTCAAGGAGAGTATGCAAAGGAAATTCTCAAGAATGTTGAGATGGAGAATTGCAATCCCGTAAGCACCCCCGTTGAATGTGGAGTTAAAATATCCAAGCATGGAGATGGAGATAGAGTCAATCCCACATTTTTCAAGAGTCTTATTGGAAGCTTAAGGTATTTGTCATGTACAAGGCCGGATATCCTTTTTGGGGTTGGACTCTTGAGTCACTTTATGGAAACTCCTACTACCTCGCACTTAAAGGTAGCGAAAAGAATACTTCGGTACGTACGCTTGATTATGAAATTCTTTATTCATCTTCTAAAGAATCCAAGTTCCTGGGATATTGTGATAGTGACTGGGCTGGTGATATTGATGATCGGAAAAGTACTACTGGGTTTGTTTTCTTTCTTGGAAATTCCGCATTTACATGGAATTCTAAGAAGCAACCAATTGTGACTTTGTCAACTTGTGAAGCGGAGTATGTAGCAGCTTGTTCGTGTGTTGCCATGCAATTTGGCTAAGGAGCTTGTTGGAAGAACTTCACCAACCACAGAAGGATGCTACAAAGATTTTTGTTGACAACAAATCGGCTATGGATTTAGCCAAGAACCCGGTATTTCATGAAAGAAGCAAGCATATCGATACGAGATTTCATTTTAATAGAGATTGCATATCTAATAAAGTTGTGGAGCTTGAGCATGTGAAGTCTGGAGATCAAATTGCGGATATTTTCACCAAGCCGTTGAAGATTGATGCTTTTCAAAAGTTAAAGATGATGCTTGGAGTAATGAAACAAGTTTAAGGGGGATGTTAAAAATAGTAATAAACTTGTTTCGATTTGTCCATATTTGTTTAGATTTGTTTACATTAATTTAATGTTTTCATACATATAGTTAGAAAAGAGTGAGGTGTGGACATGTGTGAATTTGTGTGAACTAGTGTAGGCATGTATGGACTAGTGTGTACATGTGTGGACTTAATTAATATGTACACATGAAGTTTAGGCTAGATACATGTAGGAGTTCTACTATAAATACCCATGTATGCTAGCCATTTGGAGCAAGTGAAGTTGAATAGAAATCATCCTTTCCTCCACCTCTCTAATAGTGAGTTTTGAGTGTTTGTTTAGTTGTCTTGCTCTCCCAAAAATTTCTAACAAAGCCTTCACCTAAAGTTTAATTCCCATCTATTCTCCCTTGGCTGCTAGACTGGAAAACTGTTCCCTCCCTCTAAAATTCCTGCTCTTTTCGCCTCTATGTTGTCTTCGCTAATGGATTATGCCAGACGAATAGGCCTTTCCTCCAAAATGTCTCAAGGTTGCCTTTAGGTTATGAATTTTCACGAAACAAATCTTATATAGTGGATTCGGCCATTTTGATATCAGGAAGCTGAGTCGATTTTTTGTGCAAAGTAATAATGGCCAAGTCAAGTGAGACAATAATATTCTCAACTTGGGATTTGTCCAAAGTTGTAAGAGCTTCTGATTTCATTACACTACAAATGCAAGAACATGAAGATGATAAATCAAGATGTTGATAGTAATCACAAGTTGAAAAAATCATCACCTACCTTAGTTAACAAAAGTTCATACACAAAATTCAGGAAAATCCAGCAACCGACGCCTCGTAATAAGAAAGAGCTAAATATAAATATCAGATGCACTTGGATGTAGAACTTGAAGTTTCTGATGAAATCCACTATTTCTCTTAATTAGATAATAAAATGCTAGTTATAACTTTTATCTTATTTCAGTCTCACTTTTTATTGTACAAGTTAAGTGAGTCCGTGATCTATGTTGTACATTTATCCGTTTATACAAATCTATTGGACTAAAGTGTAAGAGAAAAAACCTATAGTTGTGGGTCCCTAAATAAAGAAAGAAACAAGTTGTAATGTCAACTTGTTCAAAAATGGCAGAAACAAAAAAAGTTTGAAGTTGCAACAAGAATTGGGCGGCAACAGCAAGTTGCAACACCAATTTGCTAAAGTTGGTTTTCTGATGGATTTTGCAAATTGAAGATATCAGTGTTTTGATTGGTTAGAGCTGTGGTGACTTCTCCTATAAATAGAAGCGTTCAGCTTCATTTCAAGTACACCAAATCGAGAGAAGCAACAGAGAGTTAGAGAGAGTAATCCACAGATTGTAGTCTGTGAGATAAAGAGTGAGTGAGAGTAATATTATAGTGAGGCGTTTAAAATAAAGAGTATTATTTCTTTCGAAGTTGT